CACTTCTGTGAACAGCCAGAGAGGTCTGTGGCCATTACAAACGCATCAAATAAAAATGCGAAAGCGAAAGCTTGGGCGACAGTCAGCTTGAGCACGTTTGGGCATCCGAAAGGAAACATCCCTTCGGCTTACTTTACCCACTTAGGGATCAGACTGTAGATGGTTCTGGGCGCCCAGCTGCCGGGCAGTTCGTTATTCCTCGAGGAAGAAGGTGTTGGAGACGTGTCCCACATGGGAAGAAGACTGCGCGGTGAATGACTGCGTCTTTCCCTCCTTCCTTCCCTTGCTCGCTTTTCTTGCCTGCTTCACCCCCTAGGAAATTGTGAGTCCCAGTGTGAATGTGAGATGCCAGGAAATTGCCAGAACTTGAGCTCTTGCTCCTTCTTCCCAAGACCCCCCTGTGGTGCCTTCACCATTGTTAGAAGGAGGGCATGATTCATTCTTTTGGACGTCACTAAATAGAACTAATTAAAATAAGTTGTTTGTCCCAGTGAAATTGATCCTGCTGTTGAGTCTTTTGTTTAGAGATTATTGGATGTGGGAGTTTGGCTTTCTTTCCCCCTCTTCTGTTTTCTCTTTCTGAAACTTTATCATATTTCTGAGCCTTGGCAGGATTCATTCAACTGAACACACAATCAAGTCTGGCAAATTTCCTAAAGAATTCAGGTGCTCCCTTCTTTGCTGTCATGTGCAAAGATATGTTTAGTACGGACTCAGAGTCATTCTTGTCCTGCTAATGTTTGCTGTTTACAAAAGAATTGCTTTTCTTGGGGCCCAGCATGATGGTTCATGTCTGTAATCCCAGCAATTTGGGAGGCCAAGGCAGAAGGATTGCTTGAGCCCAGGAGTTCTAGAGCAGTCTAGGCAACATAGCAAGACCTCATCTCTACAAAAAAAAAATTTTTTTTTAATGAGCCTCCAGTAGTCCCAGCTACTCAGGAGACTGAGGCAAGAAGGATCTCCTAAGCCTAGGAAGTCGAGGCTGCGGTGAGCCATGATGGTGCCACTGCCCTCCAGCCTGGAGAACAGACTGAGACTCCTACTCAAAAATAAATAAATAATTTAGAAAAAGAAATAAGTTCTGATGTTTGAGAACAGAATAAGATGACTATACTTAGCGATAATATATTGTATATATCAAAGCATCTAGAAGAGAGGACTTGAAATGTTACCAACACATAGAAATGATAAATATCCAAGGTGATGGACACCCGGAATACCCTAACTTGACCATTACACATTCTGTGCATGTAACAAACACATGTGCGCCATAAAAATGCAAAATATGATGTATCCATAAAAGAAAAAAAGGGCAGAAACGTTCAATGCTATTTAACCATCATAAATTCCCCTCCCCCTTTTTTCTTGAGTCTCACTCTGTCACCCCGACTGGAGTGCAGTGGCATGCTCACAGTCACCACAGCCTCGACCTTCTGGGCTCAGGTGATGCTTCTGTCTCAGCCTTCCAAGTAGCTGGAACCACAGGTACACGTCACCACACCCAGCTAATTTTTTGATTTATTGTATAGATGAGGTTTCACCAAGTTGCCCAGGCTGGTCTCAAACCCCTGAACTCAGGCAATCCTCTCACCTTGGCCTCCCAAAGTGCTGGAATTACAGGTGTGAGCCTCTATTCCTGACTATAAATGACCCTTGAGCAGGGTTGCCGTGTGCCAGCCCTTCTGTGGACAAGGCCTGTTCAGACCCTAGTTACAGATCACATGGTTACAAGGCTGCAGGAACCCCTGGGCTCTGTGATTTCAGTCTTGAAACTTCATCTTTTCACCGATCAGGTCTAACATTGCTCATTGCCATTGTGCTCCAAGAGAAGGGGTGTGTGCTCATCACACTGCACCCTTCAAGGGAGACCTGTGTGCCCCTCTCCCCATTTCCAGGCAGGGGCCAAGTAGCACGGAAGACCAAGCTTCTTCCGTAGTCCTCACTGACATCCAAAAGATGCTGATCATTAAATCTTTCCTGTCGGCCGGGCTTGGTGGCTCAGCCTGTAATCCCACCCTTTGGGAGGCCGAGGTGAGTGAATTGCCTGAGCCCGTGGGTTCGAGACCCGCCTGGGCAACTTGGCGAGACCTCATCTCTACAATAAATCAAACAAATCAGCAGGGCATGGTAGCGTGCGCCTGTAGTTCCGGCTACTTGGAAGGCTGAGGCGGAAGGATCGCCGGAGCCCGGCAGGTCGAGGCTCCGGTGGCCGGGAGCGTGCCACCGCACTCCAGCCTGGGTGACGGAGTGAGACTCCAACTCAAAAATAAATAAATAGCCGGGCTCAGTGGCTCAGCCTGTAATCTCACGCCTTGGGAGACTGAGGTGAGTGGATTACCCGAGCCCGCAGGTTCAAGACCCGCCTGGGCAGCAAGACCTCATCTCTACAATAAATCAAAAAATCAGCTGGGCGTGGTAGCACATGCCTGTAATTCCAGCTGCTCGGAAGGCTGAGGCGGAAGGATCGCCGGAGCCCAGCAGGTCAAGGCTGTGGTGGCTGGGAGCGGCCAGTGCACTCCAGTCTGGGCGACAGAGTGAGACTCCAACTAAAAAAAAATAATTAATAAATAAATAAATAAATAAATCTTCCCTGTCTAACTAAAAAGGGGTGTTTGAAACTTAGGTAACAATTGTAATTTTTTTTTTGAATCGGGGGTCTCACTCTTCCAAGCTGGAATGCCATGGTATGATCACTGCTCTTTGACCATGACCTCCTGGGCTCAGACGATCCTTCCACCTCATCCTCCCTCGTAGCTGGGACTACAGATGCATGCCCGGCTTATTTTTGGATTTTTTGTGAAGATGAGATCTCGCTGTGTCGCTGGTCTTAACTCCTGGGCTCAAGCAATCCTTCCACCTGGGCTTCCCAAAATGCTGGGATTACAGGCATGAGCCACCACACCCAGCCTCTAAGTACCTTTAAACACAAAGCCATAGACTGGGAAGGTAATGTGGCTGATTGGCTGGTCTTCTGCCATCTACCTCGGAAGCTTGGAAGTTCTGGGTCAGCCTTGCCTTGCAAGCCAAGGGTCACCTCCCTTCCCCACCCTCCCCTCACCCACCACCCCTCCCATCCCAGGAATCATTGACTCTCATGTCACCAGAGCCACTAAAATGAGGCTGGCCGTGTCTCAGAGTGGAGGAGTGAGGTCAATACTAGGCAAACTTCCCTCCTAGACAACTAAAATATTTTCTTTTTGTTAATGTTTATTATACTTGTAATACTTTGTTTTCTGTTTACTCCCCTGACTTGAATCAGATGTTAGGGGAGTATTTGAAGTTCCTTGTCCCCTCTCTTCATCAGCGTCTTCTGTTTTGAAACTAATCAAGCATCCTCTCTGGCTCCAGACCTCTCAGTCATCTGTGGGAGGCCGCTGCTCGCTGCATTTCAGCAAGGGTTTGAACTCTCTCGGCCCCCAGATAAGTCTTTCCATGTATAAATTCAGATTAAAGGCAACCTACTTGTATTTACATTTTAGAGGGGTGAGCACATTTTTTTTCAGGGACTTGGGTGTTTTATGTGTTTGTTGTTTTTAAAATATAATTTGAAGGATACAAGAGGAAAAAGAAAAATAATAGAAAAAAAACAAGAAATAACAAAAAAGACCCATACAATTCAAAATTTTTTTTTAAATGTAGTTGATTATTTCCCTTTATAAGAGATTGCAGGAGCCTGGCTCAGTGGCTCAGCCTGTAATCCCACGCCTTGGAAGGCTGAGGTGAGTGGATTGCCTGAGCCTGCAGGTTCGAGACCCGCCTGGGCAGCGAGACCTCATCTCTACAATAAATCAAAAAATCAGCTGGGCGTGGTAGCGCATGCCTGTAATTCCAGCTACTTGGAAGGCTGAGGCGGAAGGATCGCCAGAGCCCAGCAGGTTGAGGCTGCAGTGGCTGGGAGCGGCCAGTGCACTCCAGTCTGGGCAACAGAGTAAGACTCCAACTCAAAAAAAAAAAAAATGTAGTCGATTATTTCCCTTTATAAGAGATTGCAGGAGCCTTGCTCAGTGGCTCAGCCTGTAATCCCACGCCTTGGAAGGCTGAGGTGAGTGGATTGCCTGAGCCCGCGGGTTCAAGACCTGCCTGGGCAACTTGGTGAGACCTCATCTCTACAATGAATAAAAAAAAAAAAATTAGCTGGGTGGGGTAGCGCGCGCCTGTAGTTCCAGCTTCTTGGAAGGCTGAGGCAGAAGGATTGCCGGAGCCCGGCAGGTCTAGGCTGCGGTGGCCGTGAGCATGCCACTGCACTCCAGCCTGAGTGACAGAGTGAGACTCCAATTCAAAAAAAAAAAAGAGATTGCAGGATTTAAGAATGGCAAAGAATCTTAATATTCTTTGCAAGAAAGCAACAAAGCTTTAATAATAATAAAATGCTAGAACTATGAACTTCCGTATTGTCCTGGAGGAATTTTTCAAACCTTGCTCTCTGTTCCTACTATATGAAAGAAAGGCAAAAATTCAAGGCAGCAGGATTTTCTTTTTATCTAAAACCCTAAACCTTTTCATTTTACAGGATCTCATAGATTATAAATCCCAAGTGTAGAAATCCCACCAGTGTCCCCAGTTGTATCTCTCAGGAAGTTCCAAAGCTGTTCTCAGTAGCTCAGCTGAGCTCTGCTGACTCTTGCTGACAGCGTGGTGCAGAATCTGACCTCTTCCAAACACTGACCCCAGCCTTAGCTTATGAATAGAATCACTCTGGGTGTAGGGAGGGGAAGGGAGGTGGGAATATCTGTCTGGGGACAGGGAGACACCCCTTATCAACAAGGGTACCTGAATGATACATATTTGTATACCTAACCCTTCACTGTATCCCACAATTTTAAAATAAAAAATATGTTTATAAATAAAAAATAAATAAAATAATTTAAAAAAAGAATCACTCCTTTGCTCTTGAATTTTCTTTTGACCTCAGACTTTAGAGTTACAACATGTTAACAGTTTAACACCAAAGGAGAATGCTGTTCTTAAACCACTGAGACTTTTTCTTAACTATTTTTCAGGTTCCGGAAACACGAACTTAACTCCTTGCCTTTTTGCTGCAGTTGGAAAAGTGAACCTGAAAAATGTCTGTTATGCAATGTTGAGAAATGGTGAAATGGGCCAAAGACGACGTCTTCATTAGAGACAATTCTGTTTGCAAAAGAACATACATTGTTCCGCGAAAGGACATCCACCAGAACTGGAAGAAACTCATTTATTTTCTGTTTCTGTAGAGTTTACCTTCTGTCCACTGCTTAGACTTTAGAATGTTTATTTTATTTTTAACGAATTAGTAGAGTATGAACTAGAAGGTGACATTTTCCACTCTGTTTTCTACATTGTCTTTGAACTGAAAATAAACATGAATCTAGAAAATTAGCCGGCGAGTTTTCAGTGCCAGATAAAACTCTGTGCTCTCTAAAGGTAACTGCTCTCAGGAGGCAGTGGGGAATGTTACCTGACACCAATTTCCTAGAAAATTGATGCAACAAGAGTGTGTTCAACGTGACAAGAAAAGAAATAACACGTAGAGAAACATCCAGTCAATCTCAAAATCTTCTGTCAGAGAGTTGTAAGATTTCTTGGAACAAAGTGCACTGTACATCCAGAACTATTTTCCAGAGCCAATGAAGTTTAGATTTCTTGCCCAAAACAAATGGGCATCTGCTGGTTTCTTCCAGTGAATGAATCTCAGTGGCCACTAATCTTTCTCAGGCCCGTAGGGTAAGGAAAAGTCGCTCTCAAAGGTCAGGTGTTTGGCAAATGTTTTTCCTTCTGCCCAACCCTTCGTTTGTAGTAGAAAATGTTCTCTAGCCTGTTCGCCCCTCTCGAGAGTTCCTGACCCTTTGTTTCCATTTTTTCCTACAATAATATAAAATTATATAAATGTTAAAACAAAACCAAGGATTCAGTAACAAACAAGAAATGATTGTCCTATAAGCAGCCTAAGTAAAATAGGCACCATAAATATCTTCAGTGTCCCCAGGCACATCCTGCAGGATTTTTTTCCTGCACACTCCTGGACTGCACTCTCCAGTGACCCTGCTCGTTAATTGCTCAGGCCATCATGTATTTTTATGCACAATTTAATTTGTTCCAAAACACTGTTTAATAACTAACAAGCCTTTCCACTCAAAGGCTCTCTGTCCCAAGAATAATTCCACTGGACAATTCTGAAATGTCCCTTCCATCCCTGTTCTTTGTTTGGAAGCACACCTCTCAAAATATGCAGTTACCCAGTATTTCCAGTGTAGAAATTGGGAGATGATAAGAGTAGAAACTGGAAGATTTTAAGGCTTCACGGTAAGTTTTTTCTCTATTAAGGCACTCAGAAAGTAACCTTTTTCATTGTGAATTGACTTTCAAGTAGAATAGCCTTCTATTTTCTCTGCCATTTAAAGTTTTTCTTTCTTTCTTTTTTTCTTCCCTTCGTCCTTTCTTTTTTTGAGTGGAGTCTCACTCTGTCGCCCAGGCAGGAGTTCAGTGGCCGCTCCTGGCCACCGCAGCCTCCACCTGCTGGGTTCCGGCGATCCTTCCACCTCAGCCTTCCAAGGAGCTGGAACTACAGGCGCGCGCTACCACACCCGACTAATTTTTAATTTATTGCAGAGATGAGGTCTCACCAAGTTGCCCAGGCGGGTCTTGAACCCGTGGGCTCAGGCAATCTACTCTCCTCAGCTTCCCAAAGCGTGGGATTACAGGCTGAGCCACCAAACCTGGCTTCCCTTTGTCCTTTCTTTCCTTCCTATCCTCTCTTTCCTCCTTCTCCCTCTCCCCCTTCCCCCCTTGTCAGAGGTCTTGTTTTGTGACCCAGGCTGGAGTGCAGTAGCACAATCTTGGCTCACGACAGCCTCCTGAGTGGCTGCAACTACAGGTGTGCACCAACACACCTGGCTAATTTTTATCAGCTAAAAAAAAAAAAAAAATCCTCTAGCCGGGCTAGGTGGCTCAGCCTGTAATCCCGCACCTTTGGAAGGCTGAGGTGAGTGAATTGCCTGAGCCCACGGGTTCGAGACCCACCTGGGCAGTGAGACCTCATCTCTACAATAAATTTTTTAAAAAATCAGCCGGGCGTGGTAGCGCATGCCTGTAATTCCAGCTACTTGGAAGGCTGAGGCAGAAGGATCGCCGGAGCCCAGCAGGTCGAGGCTGCGTTGGCCGGGAGCGGCCACTGCACTCCGGTCTGGGTGACAGAGTGAGACTCCAACTCAAAAAAAAAAAATCCTCGACCGGGCTCGGTGGCTCAGCCTGTAATCCCGCGCATTACAGGCTGAAGTGAGTGGATTGCCTGAGCCCACGGGTTCAAGACCCGCCTGGGCAACTTGGTGAGCCCTCATCTCTACAATAAATCAAAAAATTAGCCGCGTAGTAGCGCGCACCTGTAGTTCCAGCAACTAGGAAGGCTAAGGCGGAAGGATCGCCAGAGCCCAGCAGGCCGAGGCTGTGGTGGCCGGGAGCAGCCACAGCACTCCAGTCTGGGCAACAGAGTGAGACTTCAACTCAAAAAAAAAAAAAAATCCTCATAGGTGTAGAAGAGTTTTTCATTGCTCACCTTGAAAGGACCTACAATCCAGGTGTTTCTGGGAATTCCCATCTGTTTCCCATTGTGTGAGCTCATTTGAATTCCTCCGAGTGTCATAACTCAGGCTCTGATTGATGTGTTTATTCTCACTACCTACTGGCTGCAGCGTGTATGCCACTTCTGCTGAGTGAAACACAGCCTCCATGAGAAGAAAGGTCTTTGGCCGGTGAATGAATGGGCTTACCCACTCATGGTGACTTGAGGCACTCATAGGCAAGAGGACATATTATTTGGGGGAATGTTGGGAGGAGCCAGTAATCAACCATCTCTTCTGAGACCATAGCATGAGAGAAAAAAAAAAAAATCATATAAGCTTTGGCACGGTGAGTTGAAGTTAGACATCTTCCCAAGAAGCAGCGGAGGTCCTGATGTCTTTCTGCCTCTTTAATTCAAACATAAGGAACCACTAAGAGACCAGAAGGGCTGAGGGGCTTCCGTTCCCCACCATGGCACACCATGGTCATGCCCCCTTTCTGCTTGAGAGCCAGTGGTGGCAACATCTGCACAGGTGAAGTCCCAGGCCAGAAGACTCTTCCATGAAAGCTCTCTCAAGAACACTGACTCTGGCGATTCACCAAGGAAGACACAAACAGGCACTCTGGAAAACACAGCATGACAGTCAGCTGACCCGCTCATTAATTTTTTTGGTTTTTTTTTAGTTGGAGTCTCACTCTGTCGCCCAGACTGGAGTGCAGTGGCCGTTCCTGGCCACCCCAGCCTCAACCTGCTGGGCTCCAGCGATCTTTCTGCCTCAGCCTTCCAAGTTGCGGGAACTACAGGCATGTGCTACCACGCCCGGCTTATTTATTTATTTATTTATTTATTGTAGAGACAAGGTCTCCTCAAGTTGCCGGGGCTCAGGCAATCCACTAGCCTGGGTCTTTCAAGGTGCTGGGATTACAGGCTGAGCCACTGAACTCGA